CTGGAGTCGGATTTGAAACCTGGAGTTGAATTTGAAAACCAGGTTCAGAAAGATCTGGAAGAGGCGCCTCCAAGTTGAGACATCCTGAGTTGATAGTCTCCAAACTGGACAGTCTAGAAAAAGTCTGTGAAGCCCCCAGCAGGTGTCACCGGTCCTTGCCATCTGTGCTGTGGTCTTCTAGCTAACTGTTCTCAGGCCCGGGACTGGATAGATGAGGGAGAGGTTGTCCCCAGACTTCAGTGAGCCTCTTTTTGTGGAAGGGGTAAACAGGGACCACTTTTTAGTTGCTTTTGGGGGAGGCCTGGGGGGTGAGGGTGCTAAGATGACATTATAGTTCTATCCCTAGAGAAAACAATGCCACAATAATCAGTACTTTCTTGACTAGTCTGATACTTTTGACTCCTCCTGAAGATACCATCACTGGCCTGGGCCAAGAAGTTTGGAAAAGGGCAGCTCTCATGTTCCCGCCTCAAACTTTCCCAGCTGTATGTGTTGGGAGGGGGAAAGGTGCCTGGGTTTCCAGGATATGAAGCACTCTTTTCCTACACATGTACACAAACAGCATTTTACATTGAATGGGGAAAAGACTAGCAAGAATTTTTTTTTTCGTACCAATGTCTCCCAGTGTTCTTACCATGGCCATGTAAATCAATACCGAGTTATTTCTTTGAATTCAAAGGCTATTTATCCAGGTCTAATTTCTTTAGAATTAACGTGATAACTGAGCCCAACTTAGCAACCAAAACCAGTCAGGCCCTGCCTGGCCTGAATGTACTTCTACAGCCTGAGGAGGCTGCAAACCCTCCACTGGTACCCAATCTACTCCTTGACCGATGTACTGCTGCAAACACTGGTCCATAGATAGAACAGCAGGGGGCTTTCCCACCCAAAGAGCACCCTCCTCCCCCTTGGGCATGCTGACCCCCACACAGGGCCCTGCGCTGGCAATCAGCTGGTATTCCTCTCTAAATAACGCTGACAGCCAGAATACAAGCCCCAACACCTCGGTGTCTTAAAAAGCAAAAGGCAGCTTAGGCCTCCAACCCTGCCTCTTAAAACTTTTCAGTGAATGTGACCCTCACCTCCTATAGGCCCTAAAAGAGCCTGAGGTCTCCAGATCACCAGCTTTACTTCTATTACTTCTATTTTGAATGATAAAGACTTCTTAGGCCTCACCTGCACTCCTCCTCCCACCACTCCCCCAGGGTTGGCTCGGGTTCCCCAGCAGCCGGCAAGACAAAGAGGTCTGAGCCAGGACCCGGCTGGCGGCCAGCAGGGCGCAGGAGCCTGGAGCCCCTGAAGTGGGCGCCTTCGCTTGGAAGCCCTGAGGAATCTGGGAGTTCTTGACTCTCGAGGATGGGCTGGAGGTGCCGGCTGGTCGGGAACAAACCAGGGGTGACAAGCCTTAGCTCACTACTGCCGCTCACTACTGGGCGAAGGACTTAGCCTGGTTTATTTGGAGAGAAGAGACTGTGGGCAGCCACTGAGCCCCGAACTCCTTGCACAGAGACGGATGGCAGAGACCACACGTGGCAGCCCCTCCGCACGGGCCACCTTGGCACGCTGTGTGGGACCACACGAGCGCTTCCCAGGACCAGCTGGAAAGCCCAGTGCTCAAGTCTGCAGTTCGGATTCTACCCGCACGCGTGCTTAGAGACCTCTATCAACGATGCCGGGTTGGTCCCCTCATCGTTGGCTCCGCTCCCCAGCCCGGGGCTGTCTGAGCCCACTCTGGGCAGCTCAGCAGGTCTTTACGCAAAAACTGCCACCTCGGGGCAGTTGCACACTTGCTCCTCTGGGACACAGGGTTGAGATTTTATCCTCTAATGGGGGAGGGATAAGAGCCCTGTAACTACTACGCAGACATTTCCAGCCCTCCCAGTGCTTTCTCGGGTATTAAGCAAACAGGAAAAAAAGAGAAGAAGAAATCCTTCGCCAATAGAGGTACTATGCTCTGGATCTGGTGCCCAGTGAGGGGACCTTGACGGGCCGGCCACAACCCGCACGGCCCCAGGTGCCGCCAGAGTCGGGGGAAGCCGGCGAGGAAGGCAGAGCACCTGCGACCAGAAAGAAACGCACTTGCACGGGGGCGGGGGCCGGCAGGGGGGCCTTCACCGTGTTAACAGCAAGCTGCAGGGTATAAAGCAATAAAACTGCCGCGTCTACCTGCTGGCTTTGAGGACCTTACAAACAAGCTCGGCGCGCTGCCCGGGTGCGCCGTGCACGCCCCAGGGGAGGGACGAGAAGACCTTCTCTTTCTCTGCCTTTCCCTTCTCCGCCGCAGTCCCCCACAGACGCACACGCTACACACATCTCCCCCTCACCCAGCCCACCTTTCATTTTCCTTGAAGCTTTTTTGTTGTTGTTTTAATTCATTGCCGATTTGTAAACGCGTGGATCGGGTTACGGGTTCGAGTGTTAAAGCGAACCTCTTGTTAAAACGAGGGGAACCAGGCAGACCACTTAAAAATGAATTCAGAGTTACTGAACCGGCTCCCAGGACTCCAAAAGTTAGGCGCGGCAGGCTAGGACAGAGGGGGGTAGAGGCGACTAAACGCTGCTGCCCGGAGAACCTTGGAAAACTCTCGGGCAGCCAGTTTCAGGTCATCTGATAAGATGGAGGAAGGAAGGAAGGAAAGAAAGAAAAAGAAAAAGACAAACTAGTCTAACCCTGCCTTGAGACCCGGGGCTGGGAGCTGGGGAAATCAATTAGCATAAGCCGAGATCGGTCTGCGCAGTGAGTTGGAGCTGCGGGTCTGCAGTCACCCTTCCTGAAGTTACCGAATGAACGGCACCACTAAATTCTCCATTTCTCAGGTCCCTTGAGTCATCCATCCTATGGAATTCACGCGAGTAGGGTGCAAAGAAGGCTCGCGCAGTTTTCCCAAAGACAGACCTACAATGTCCCCACCACCTCTAGACACGTTGGCCCGGAGTTGTTAATTGTATGTTTCTTGGTGTGGCCAAAGGCTTGGGGCTTGGATCTATTCTCAGACTAAAAGTTGGCGCCGAGCCCATAGGGGTCTGCATGCCTTGCCCACCCAGCCCCGGTCCACTAGCAGTGCCGACTCCCGGAGTCTCCCCGAGGTCCCAGGACCCTGACCCAGGCACGACCCAGCCTGCCCTCCACGGCGCCCGATCCCCAGTCCAGCTCTCCTACCTGGTGGCCGGGCCTGAGCAGCACGCCGGGGCTCTTCTGACTGCTCAGTCTGGAGACTAGAGGGAGAGAGCTAGATCCGCAGCCCTGGGCTGCTCCGAACTTAATGTCTTTCCCCAGTCCATCTTTGAAAGAGAAGTGGTTCTACCACCTGGATGTGCGGATATAAATCCCCTTGCAAATAATAAATGGATTAATAATAACAAGGTATGAAGTTCTTTTTATAGAAAAAAAGGAGAGAATTGAAACTAAATGCGGCAGTTAGACAACCATTTTGATAAGAGGATAATTGAGGCGACACTGGTGTATAATTAGAGGATAATTTATGCTATATCCACTTTTATTCCACCTCCCAAAATAAACCCAGTCCATAATCATTACAGGCAAATTGTTCTGAATTTTATAGCAGCAATTTGAACAAAGTACTGCAGTTAATCATGGGAGATTTTTGTGTATTCCTGATTAGAACTCTAATTGCCTCCTTCCAGAAAGTAAAAATAACTGTAAAACGACTCTATTTTTATCATTAACAATGTTGACAATAAAATAAAATCAATTGGAATTGTAATCGAGAGACAAATTTAGGACGAAGGCACTTTTACTTGGGTAGTTTATATTGTAATCAAGATTTGCCAAACCACTAACCGCATGTATCATTTGCATATATTTGAAAGCATTACAGTAGCTTCTGTTTTCAATAGGAAAAAATGCATTACTGTCAGTCCTCCAACGATGTGCTTTCAGAAGAAGCTGCTGCGTTCTGGGGTGGGGGGGGGGTAGATTTCTCCCCCTTTTTTGTTCACTATATAGGAAATACAGCCTGAAATAGCAAGAACCTCGCCAGAACAGGGTATAATTTTTCTTCTTCTTTACCCCCTCATCCCACCCCACCCATGGGGTCGGTACCAGGTGTGGGGGTTTTCTTCCCTTTGTGGTTTCAATAAAGTACGTCTAGAAAAATCCACGGTGACAGGGCGCTCCCGCGGGACTGCAGTGGGACTGGGAGCGGGGGGGGGGGAGGTCAAGGGAGGGACCCCTGCTTTAAATGCAGAGGGCACTGCTTCGGAGCACAGGCAGCCTGCTAGCGTGCGGAGGGATTGCGAGAGAGCAGCCCTCTGCCAGGCAGTTCCAAGGCTGCGGTATTGGGAACGGAGGCTCCGGGTTTGGGGGTGCGAGCTGCGGCGGGAGGCGTCGGCGACCGGCCGGGCGGAGGCAACTCCCTCCTCGGAGGCAACTCCCTCCTCGGAGGCCCCGTGCACGGAGCCGCGCGGCCCCCGGCTGCAGCTCGGGGCAGGGATTGGAGTTGCCGGAGGTAGGCGAAGAACTCGGAGAGCGGCGCGCACACCAGTGGAAGCCGTGCGCCTGTGACGTCAGGGGGCGACTGACCAATGGGGAGGCGCTGCCCTTTGGAGACAAACCATTCGACTCGTGGCGTCTGCATCAAGTCTGAAAGCAGACGCGCAACTTTCGCAGAATCCACCTTAAAATCTCTGCCTTAAACTGCACCAGCCCCCAAAAATCCAAGGGGGGAAAAGAAGGGGGGGAGAGCAGAGTCCCCCCTCCCCCCGCTCCTCTCCCATCCCTCCCCCTTCCTCCTCCCTTTGAGTTAACAAGGCCCCGCTCACTATATCTCTTTATATTAAAAATATATATATTAGAGAAGAGCGAGGGAGAGGGAGAACCACCGCCGTCCCCTCTCTTTTTTTTAATTTTTTTAATTTTTTTTTTTTTTTTGCAAGGATCCCAAGCGCTAAGGTGGCTGCCGAGGGGAGAGCGGCGCGAGCCAAGTGGGGGAGGGTGGCGGAGACCCGGGAGAAGGCTTTCTCCGGCCCCCAAAGTTTTGATGATGACCATGACCACGATGGCTGACGGCTTGGAGGGCCAGGACTCGTCCAAATCCGCCTTCATGGAGTTCGGGCAGCAGCAGCAGCCGCCGCCGCCGCCGCCGCCGCAGCAGCCGCCGCCGCCGCCGCCGCCGCCGCCGCCGCACTCCCAGCAGAGCTCCCCGGCCATGGCAGGCGCGCACTACCCGCTGCACTGCCTGCACTCGGCGGCGGCGGCGGCGGCGGCGGCCGGCTCGCACCACCACCACCACCAGCACCACCACCACGGCTCGCCCTACGCGTCGGGCGGCGGCGGCTCCTACAACCACCGCTCGCTCGCCGCCTACCCCTACGTGAGCCACTCGCAGCACAGCCCTTACCTCCAGTCCTACCACAGCAGCAGCGCGGCCGCCCAGACGCGAGGGGACGACACAGGTGAGAGGCCGCTGGGGCGGCTCGCTTCTCCCGCCTCCCGGCTGCCCCCCACGCCGCCCGCCCCGCTCACTTCCTCCGAGCCCGGGCCTCCGCCGGCCCCCTCCCCCAGGCGGCCCGGCGCGCCCCCGGCCGGGCCTGGTGCGCGCCCGCTTGCCTGGCGCCTGCCTGCCGGCCTCGCCCGGCCGGGCCCCTTCGCGCCGCCGCGGACCCTAGGCTTCCCTGCGGCTCGACCCGCCTGGCTCCCCCCGTCTCCGGCGCGTCGCTCGGGCCGCGCCTCCGAGTCGGCGCAGGCTTCGCCCGACCAGTTGGCCCGCACTGCGCTCTGCAGCCCGCAGGGGCTGGCCGCCCTTTTGCCTCTCTCGTCCCCTCCGGGTTTTGACCCACGTTTGGCAGGACCGGGGACATTTCTGGGCTAGAACTGGGGAGCGTGTTTGGCTCCACCACCTAATCGGGGCAGCCGGCGGCCTACTTCGCGTGGGGCGCCGGGTGCGCTTCGGTGACCCGGGGGGAAGCTGGCACGGCCTCCGGCTCTGGTTAAGCTGGTGAGAATTGGGCTCTCTCTCCCGCGGACTTTGAGGTGTCTCCCACCCCCACCCCTCCCGGGGCCCCCTCCCTTGGGTGTTTGATAGCTGCCGGCTACTCCTTTGTTCGTGGAAGTGAAGCCCAGGGCTCAGCACTCGTGGGAGACAAAGTTGCCGCGTGAGGCTCAACCCGCTGCGGTGCTGATCTGAGCCTCGGGTGGTGTTTTGTTTGGGTTTTGGTCCCTCTCGGCAGACTCATTTTCGATCACACCGCGGTATCTTGATGCACCGGGCTTCGAGCTAGTGACATCAAGCCAGCTGGCCGCAAAATCACCAGGGCGGCTCAAGCACACCTGAAGGCACTGGAAAGCCAGGCCGAGGGGGCCCTGCTCCTCGGCGGCGAGAGCAGCCGCCCCGCGGCGCCGCGCACCCCGGGGAGCGGCCGGCGCCGCCTCCGCTGCGGCGGAGCTAGGCTGTTTGCCTCTCGGCCCGGGGCGCTCCCTGCACCCAACCACCGCACACGATTAGAGCCAGAGTCAGGGTCTGAAAGAAGCTTTCGCAGCCGCCGGCAGTACCCGGGCCCTGGGAACCCAGAGAGGTCAGGGTGGCTTGGGGACGCTTCAAGGAAACTGTTCATGGCTTTGAAGAGTCTCGGCACAGGCCAGGCCAAGCTCGGGGAGACTGCAGCAGTAGCCTCACGGGTGATCACTCCTCTGTATCCTTTGCTTGCAGATCAACAAAAAACCACAGTGATTGAAAACGGGGAAATCAGGTTCAATGGAAAAGGGAAAAAGATTCGGAAGCCTCGGACCATTTATTCCAGCCTGCAGCTCCAGGCTTTAAACCATCGCTTTCAGCAGACTCAGTACCTGGCCCTTCCTGAGAGAGCTGAACTGGCAGCTTCCTTAGGACTGACACAAACACAGGTAATTCCAGAGAAGCCCTGAGATGCTGACCCTCACTTGCAGATCGGGCAGGGAGCTCATCAGGAGGAATTCTTGGCCTAGTCAACCAAAGATGGAAGGAGCTTAATGACAAATGCCTTTGCTCCAGTTATGCACTTTTCTGGGACAACACAGTTTGGAATAAATGACCTGGTATTGAATACTGGATTGGATTTGCACATCCCCCCCGCTCCCGACCCTCAGCAACCCCACCCCAGCCTAGTGTCCTTCGGTGGTCAAACTCGTTATTTAATCGAGTCCTATTCCAGTAGAACAACACAAAAGAGCAAACAAGTAGCAGAAAGAGAAAAAGATGTTCAGACCAGGAGGGCAGCATAAGACCCGTGTTTCTTTAGGATCCTTTTGTGGGCCCTGGGACTTAATGAGGATTTCAGCTCATTCACATTGAAAGAATTATGAAGTGAAAAGGATGGGTTAGCCAGACATACACAGGTTCCAATAGGATTTGGTAAAGTGACCAAGGTGAAAACTGTTCATCCTAGGATGGGTGAGGTGAGTCTGTCTGAAAATTGTCCTCAGTTCAGTTGGTTAAATCATTCTGGTTGACTGGCTGGTGCAGGCTAAGGTACCTCCCTGGATCACAGAATTTGGGCATAATGGCAGAGCCAGAGATGAAGAGAAATGAAGCCTCGGTTAAGTACAGTTGCTGAAGTTCTCCGGTCTTACTAATTTGAAAGACATATGGGGCATTTTAGACTTCACAGGAAGAGGTTTTAGGTAGGTATGTTAGGACCCTTGTCATAGAGCCAGGCTGCAGACACCTGAGGTTTTTGTCCCTGTTGATTAACTTGGCTGCATGGGGTGGTAGGCCTCATCTGAAATGGATGCTCTTCAGCAAGGGGACATCAGGTTTCTAAGACTGTGTGCTGAGACCGAGACTTAACGTCTCAGCACAGATGCTCCTTAAGCTCTTTCTTTTCAATTCAGCCTGCTTTCTCTCGCCATGTTGCCACTGGAAATATTTGGGATTTGAGATGAAGGGATTCCTGCTATTCAGTAACGTATACTCCTTTTGGAAAAGCAGATTCCTAAGGCTAAGTAATTTTAAAGGTAGACGAAGCTGTACCATAGAAGGTCCTTCTTCACATAAAGTAGGTCTGGGACGTTAGCTTGCATACGCTCCCATCCTAGACTCCTGGTTCACATTTAATACTCAGGAGCCCTTTGACTTTTAGTACCTGCCCTAACAATCATGACCGCAATTTGACTAAACAACATACCAAGTAGGGCATGAATGAGGCACAGTCCCTCATCGCTGCAGGATTATGTCAGAAGAAAGGTGCTCCATGTACAGTGGGTGGCATATGCAGTGTACGCCTATGTATGTATATTCAACGCATTGGAGTTTTAATCTGTTCTTAGTCATTTGCTCAGGGCACATCCAGACTATTAGAGGAAGTGCATCCAGTTAGCTTTAATCTGAAAAATTCACTGTGTAAAAATCCTCCTTTAGAGTTTGAACCTGGCTGTCTCCTTGGCCTTTATTCTAGTTTTATTCTTACTTATGCTGTTGTTTCAAACCTAGGCTTCCATCTAACTGAGGAGTTACAATGACTTTAGGTATCCGGACAAGATACCAAGTAATCGGCGGGGGTAGGGTGGGGTGGGGTGGAGTAGCGGGGAGAGGGGAGCGGCTAGAAAGAGGTGGAGGAAGGCGGGGTCTTGAGTGCTTCGCGTTTGCGGGTTGTCTTTTTTTTCACTCGAGGCACCGGTTCGATGTTTTTCGGGCCTAACGATCGCTGCTGCGTTTCTTTCTAGGTGAAGATATGGTTTCAGAACAAACGCTCTAAGTTTAAGAAACTGCTGAAGCAGGGCAGTAACCCGCACGAGAGCGACCCTCTCCCGGGCTCCGCGGCCCTGTCGCCGCGCTCGCCGGCGCTGCCTCCGGTGTGGGACGTTTCCGCCTCGGCCAAGGGCGTCAGCATGCCCCCCAACAGCTACATGCCAGGCTACTCGCATTGGTACTCCTCTCCACACCAGGACACGATGCAGAGACCACAGATGATGTGAGTTATCCGAGGGCAAAAGATACCCTAGGGAGACGTCTGAACAAGGCAAGGAGGATCCGGGACCTGCTTGCATCTGCCAAACCGAGCCGAAGGAGCAGGCTCGGGAGAACTCTTTATGTGTGGCCAGACTGTCTGGGCGCTTGTTCCCTTCTCTCTCCTCTCCCATCCCCTCGGTCCCTCTCACACTCTTCCTTTTTTTTTTTTTTTTTGCCTCCCTTCTTCCCACTTTTCTTTTTAAAATTCCTTTCCCCATCTGCCTTTTCCCTTGAGCAGCCTCAGTAATTGATTTTGAATCTTAGAGAGAGAGAAGGAGAAAGAGAGAGAGAGAGGCTGGTTTCTAGGCCAGTGCTCCTGAAGCCTCTCACTGTAAGGATATTTTCCCTCACCTCTTGGGATCCAGGCTCTGAGCCTCTTTTTCTCTTTGGGAGTATCCATCAAAACGACTTTTTAAAGCAGACATTTTCCCCCACCAGAAGAATCTGTGCAAACATGGCAGCGTTTTTACTTGTTTAATGAGCTTAAGACATTACATGATGAAAAAGAAGCAGTTTGGACTCCTGCATTTTTATTTACAATCCCAGACTGACAAAAAAAAGAAAGAAAAAGAAAGAAAGGACAGAAAAGAAAAAGAAACCCTGACATAACAGCCCTTCTCTAAAGAAAAAGGAAAATTCGGCTGTAAGATTAGAACATTGCCACGAAAGGAATGCTGCATGTTTTATCAAAATGCAATGAGCACAAATGATGATTTAAACAAAACCACTTTCCCTCCACCCCTACCCCCAAACCCTGAACTGGAATCAGGAAAGACAGAGGAAACAACCAAAATCACCATTCTATTGCTTTGATATCTTTACTAGGTGAATTGGTGGCATTCACTAAGCTAATAGGGACATTTATATCAAGAAACATTTCTGTATATATTGTTGAATTTTAGTTGTACATATACTTTGTATGTTTTTGTCTTCTTTCATATATGGAGTAAAAGCCACAAAACGCTGAGAGTGTCCTGTATATTTCTCTCCGTGTGTCTCTGTCTTACCACCCCCTTCTTCCTCCACCCCCCCCCCAGTATATTTTCCATCACTCTTAAAAGAATTCCTATTTCCTAATAAGGGAAACCCTATATATATAAACATCAAGTGCCTGCAAAGATATCAGTTTGCAGCACTAACCTTTGTCTGAAGTGCTTTAACATTAACCATAGATGTTTTCTCAACTTCCTTTATATATTCTATTTTATTGTAATTTCTACACATTTATCTATTTCTAAGAATCATTAGAATGCTCTAACCCCAGGTTAACCTCTAGACATCCAGTAGTTTGCAGTGCTGAAACTGAGTATTCTCCTTTCCCTTTCCTCAGCCAAAATAATACAGCTGTATTTGTCTTTGTTTGGAAGCAGCTTTTTTTTTTTTTAACAAAAAAAGGGAAAGAATCAGAAGGAAAAAAACAGAAACTAAATGCACAATTATGACTACTTCACGTTTACAACCCTTTACAAGCTAACTAGATAGGAAAACACACAATCCTGGATGAAATACATCCTTCCTTCTGATCTTGTAGAAAGCACAGAAATAATGAAAATGAAAAGTCCTTTCGTCATGCAAGCAGGAAGCCCCATACTGCGAGAATTAATGGCTACAGACCTGGGCATCCTTCAAATTATGAACCTTGAAACCACTGAGCCATTTATCAGAAGTCAATAGAGATACTCAGAGTGCTCCATATAATGACAGCGACATACAGTTGTGCAAAAGGACAGTCACTATAATTAGACACAAAGCAAAGACTACTTACCAATATACCCGTTCCTTTTTTTGTTGAGCAACTTCCACGCTCAGTCAGTCTTCAGAATGGTTTAAAACCGATCAGTCTTGTCATTTTCTAGCATTCGTATTGTTACATTAGGAAAAATGTTTTCTTTTCTTTTTTCCCCCTTCCTACTGTGAAACTTTGGGTTCGTAGCTCCCCAGGATCAATTCTGAACAAAGCCTCCAGCTGCAGTGCCATCCAATTTGAAGCAGACATTGGGGACAATTTAAGGTTTTTATCCACAAGAAGGTTTTTTTCCATTCTCTTAAATGCAGCCATAATTAGAGTAATTTTTCATGTAGCCCGCTGATTACAGCGTTTTTACCGTCAAAGATAATTACCTGTAATTTTCTTCCACTTTTAATACTAAAAAGCCATCTTTATTTAGATTCAGGAACAGGAAAGGCGAAACAAAAGAGGGAAATTATTCTGTTATTCATACACAAATTGCAGAGACGTAGGACCTAAAATTGAAAATTAACCAAAATTATAATGCTGAAAAGAATGGAAGAGCCTGCAGAAGTACAGCTGGTAGTGGGGCTTTGCTGAATTATTCAAATTACGTTAGCGAGAAAGCTACCATACATCGAAACCAACACTGATTTTTGTTTAAAAAAAAAAAATCACCAGACATATGCCAAACCACTGAGAGTGCATGGAATTCTGAAACCCAGAAAATGCATTTTAACACATTGGAGATGTTACCATGATGCTCCAGTGTGGATCTTTCTATCTCTTAATACACATTAATTAAACAGGAAGTTCTATCAAGGGGTCCTCCCAGGAACTGGCATTGGAGATGGGCTTCCTCTGGGTCCTCTGAACTGCAAGGGTTAATAATTTTCGCTCTTTAGAAGGTATTGACCCCATAGTAAACTGATTCCCCAGAGGGGGATTGGTAGGAGGGGCGTGGGTGAAGTCTCAGTGCCTACTACGCCTCCCCACTTTGGAACTTCCCAGAGTTCGAGTTCTAGAGCCTCCTTCTGACAATATTTTTTAAGTTAAAAAAAAAAAAAAAAGGAACAATAGTTGCGAAGAGTGAGAGAGAAGGGGGAAATTTCTTCTCAGTGCCAATAAGCATCTCATTTATTTTCTGACATAATTTAGCACAAACGTTTCTCCGGAGAAAGGCATTTCTGTTTCTGTGCTGAGGTGAGGGAAACAAAAATTTCTCAGGCTCCTACCCATAAAGTCTCTAGCTGCTTCCAGCATCTACAGGGTCAGGAAACAGCGTCATCTATAGATAGAACTGCACCGCGTCTGCGACAGTCTTCCTTGGCAAGTCGCTAAATCAAACGGGTTCCCTGGCTCCACTCTGCATCTTGGCCAATCGTGCCCCTCCAATCCCAAGGTCTCGGCATTGGGGCCTCTCAGGCCACAGCTCTCCGGTCAGCATCCGACGCCTTCCCCCCTCCCCCGCCCCCAGCTTGAGGCAAAGACACTGGAAAGCAGCCCTAAAGTGGTTTTGGAGGCCAGTTATTCCGGAAACTTTCTCCCCAATATAGGAAGGCGTCAAAGGGTCTATAAAGTCGGAAAGATTCAGAGGACACCTGCCGTTGCTAACGTCCGCATACCTGTGATGCTAAAGGGGCATTTGTCCCTAGCGAGCTCCGTTTGCACACTCAACGCCCCCAAACTTAAAACCATCACCACGTGTAAGACCTCCATGGATTTGTCTAGGACTCGTTTTGAGTAACAATGTTTCAAAGTCTATTTCAGCCTGGAACCTCTAGCAGACTTCCCTTCATACCTTACAGAAACCTGATGCACGTCCCAGCCTCCAGTCACAAGCTGCACCAAATATCAACAGCACAGAAAGCAAGAGAGACAGATCGACTTCTTAAGGATCCCATCCTCACCCAAATCATTGTACTCACCAGAACCACAACCCTTTTACTGTTAAAGTGGAATAAAAGGTCAGAAATGAAAACCATCTCTAGAGCAAAGTTGCAGTCCATAACAAATCACAACAGCAATACATACAGCTTTGTGTGAGAATAGAAATATGAGCTGTGTCTTGTAGTATGCAAGAAATAAAAACTTACCCCCAGTGAATCCCTCTTAAGCAATGATCAGGGTCTAGAAATCTATACTGAACAGAAGCAGAGGAGAATATTTTTCTGAGTCTCAGGGCAGAAGCTCTTTCTCTATATTCTTGGTTGAGTGAGCACATCCAGGTGTGAAATTGTTTGCACACCCCAGCACCTCTTATATTGCCAGCAAAATTAGCTGTTATTACTGTCACTGTTTAGTGATGGTTAGCGTGATACAAAAAAAAAAAACTGCTGTAATCAAGACCTGGCGCATCTTTGCAAATTACAGATAATTGTAAACGTCCAGATTATGATAATAGCATCCTAATCCAGCCTGCAATATAATTATTACAGAGTGTTACATCTGAAACTGTCCAGTAGGGCTAATTCAGCCATTATTTAGACCCTATTTTTGTACTGCAAATGGGTTGCTGAGTTGAAAATGTACGATTGTAATTTCACAGGGCACTCAATGAGTAATGGTATAGGAAGAGGAAAATACAAAAGTGAAATGTGAACAGTAGCGATCAAATCAAACCCTGAAGGACAAAAGACTGTTTGATTCATATGGAAAAAGGAGAGCGGGAATTAAGAAAATAGCAAATCAGTGGTCTGAAGCATTACGTGTCCAAATCTTCAATATGTGGAGGGCTGATGTGTTTGCAAGGGCTTCTACATCTGCCGCTGCCTAGTGTCTGAAATAATTCTTTTTCTTTCTTTATTTTTAAACCTGTCTTTCCCCCCTCTCTCCTAAAGTATTATCGTCCTTTAAAAAAAAAGTGCCCCTCCCCCAAGCAAAGAACATTTGTCAGTTTCATCATTGTTTCCACCAAGGCATCCTCAGAAAGTGCCTGTCATTTGTTTATGAACATTTTCTTAAATGAATTTTCAATCTCTCCTGTCATCAGAGCAAAATGCCTGGGTGTTTGTAAGTGTTCCTGAGCTTCATCTCCATTCTCTTTCACTGAGAACAAGTCATTGAGAGTCCTAAAGGATTTTAGCAGAAAAATGTATTAATTGCTGCTAATTAAATAAAGCCAGATGGGAAGCCCTCTCCTCTACTCACCTTGGCTGGCTATTGGCTTTAATCCTATCATTAACTTTTATTAATTAACCCACCCCTTCTCATGTCAACCAGTCCAGCTGCTTCTTT